CTGCATAAGGAGCAGATGTAGCTCCCACTTATCCAAGCACAGAGAGAGGAGTGGAGCAATGCACTGTAGCTCATACGCAGTTCCGCAGAACGATGCTCTGTGTTCCAGAATCGAGCAAAAAGGCAACAGAAAATCACGTTAAGCATTGGGCAGGGACATGGATGTACTTCCAGTACTGCAAAAGCCCAGGAAAAGCTTGTCTCCAACTTCTTATATCAGTTTTCAGCCAAGCATATGGCTGAACAAGGCCTTTTTCCTTTACTTTTACTCAAAAGCAATGCTCACTGGTAACTCAAAACTCAACCATGTGCTTGCAGTGTATCTGCCCCAGAAAAGTCTGTTTTACAGCTCCCAGTCTGCTGCTGCGGTGTACAACCATGTGAACCATGACCACTTGCAACCATCCAAAGATCTTTTTTGTGGTTTAAGTTCCTCACCAAAGGCTCTTGAGGCCAATGCTGCAGCAGTGTAGGAACATCCCAGAGTCTGGGATTCATTTCAGCCTCAGGGACTCCCCAGTGGTACAGAAGCTGGCTGCTCTGCTCAGTGCTCCTGATGCATGGGCCAAGTTGCTGGCTGTCGAGAGGACAGAAGGGGATTTTTTTTTTTTTTTTTTGGCTTGTATGGGTTTTTTTTGCCTATGCATAGCTGATAAGAGTTTCCCTGGGCAATTCCAGAGCACCCTTCCAAATTCTCTAACCTGCACCATGTGTCTGACAGAGCCAGGAAATCACAATGGGGTTTCTGGAGGATGCAGAAGCCAGATGCAGCAGCAGGCAAATACCACGTATTTCCCAAGGAGTCAAACACAACATCATAGGCAAGAAGAAAAGAGGACAAGCTGGCACTGCAGCACTTCTTCCCTCTTCCTCTGAACTTTTCAATTCTTCAAGCAACCAAAGTAGAGGGATTCCAGAAGTAGCATTATAAAATTAAGAAGCTTCAAATGAACAAAGAGCCTGTCTTTATTATGGCTCGTACATCAGCATCCTGCCGCGCCAAGTCTGGGGGCAGCTCCCACAAAGCCTGCCCTGCCGCTGCAGCTGGCAGCTTGGGTTGTTGTAACTAGAAGCATCAAAACCTCTTGATGCTGCAGAATGTGGGTCGGCACACAACGGCACAGTGCCAGCGCTGGATGGAGGTGTCATCCATCGCGATGCTACCCAGGGCTGTGAGTTGGGAACAACTTATGCTGTTGCAGTGACTGGACTGCAGCGAGGCGGGGAGAAAGCTAAATATATACCCCTTTAAAAAGCAGCACTCCCCTGCTCTTGTTCAGCATGCATCTGTTGAAAGGCACAGAGCGCCTCTAACTAGAGAAAGAAAAATACAACCTGGCACACCATCCTCGAAATATTCCCAACACGCAACATACCCACAGCTGCTTATATTGCAGCAAAGTCAGAAGGAGATCTGTTGCTGCATGAGGTCTCATCTATCCCAATGCACCCTGCTGCTATTGCAGCGCCTGTCCGGAGAACACTTCCATGAACAGAGCTCAGATCAGAAATCAGGACATCCAGGCTGAAAATTGTCCCAGTGCAAAATAGGCACAAGCCAGGAACACAAAAAGGCCAGAAATTGGTCTTCCAGCCACTTGCAGGAAGACTAGCCTTGCCTCATCCTTCCAATCAATCATTAAATAAATAAATAAATAACCAACAAGAAACAACAACAACAAAACTCCTTAACCCTCCTGCTCCTGTTTCACACAGTTTATAAGCCCAGCAACATGTCTCTCCACCAGGCACCAGGAAGGGCTGTGGATAGAGCGGCCGTCCCAGCGTGTGCTCGCAGACAGCTTTGACAGGGCTGCAGTTAGAGCTCAGCCACCGCTCAGCAAAGCTCCCTGGAGTGCAACTGCACCGCAGGATGGAGGAAGAAAAATATCACAGCGGCAAAGCCTGAGTTGCATTACCAAAGGAAGCCAAACCAACGGAGCACAGAACCAGCCACAGACTCTTCTGCCAGCCTGACAGCAGAAGGAATGAAAATGCTTGTGGTCTCTAAACTGCCTGAGCTGCAGGGTGAGCTTTCACTATCTCTCAGCTTGACCCCTGCAAGGAGAGTTGGGTGCAATTTGGGGGTCCCAAACTGCAGAGGGACCTGCCCCACCTCCAGCCAGGCTCCCCCAGCATGAGCTCTGCACCCCCTCGGGCAGGGATGGGGCATGGAAAAGAACCAAGACACTGCTCCAGAACAATCTGAATATCAACTAGGCCCCTGCCTTGTAAGAACAAAACATCAGCTAAGGCAGGAATGTAACATCTAATTGAATTTAACTGAGACTTAAGAGTAAACAAAATCAAAATCCCCTAACAAGTGTGTTTCTCCTTCCAATGACAACTAGGTGGAGAATTTTGCTTCTCCATCCTTAACATCACAAGTACATGCAAGTCTCAAAACAGCACAGCTGACAGCTGGAATTTTGGAGCTTGGAGATACAGACGTGGTACTGGATCCTCTCAGAACCACAACAGCTCACCAAGGATGGCATCCACCTTCCCAGCTGCTGGCAGAGCCAGCAACTTCTGCCATCTGGGAAGCATGGAGAGCTTGGGGCACCCTTCTTCTTCCCTGTATCAAAGAGATGCTATGGAGAAGACAAAGGAAATAAGCATGAATAACACTGTCAAAGACTTTTTGTTTCAACTCTGTGGAGAAGCAAGAGAGAAATTATCAGTGATTTTCCTTTTGTAGATGCAAAAGATGATCTTAGGAAGTGCAATCTATTTACACAGCAAGATGCAGGAAGCAGTTGATGCACAGGGATGAGAAGGATGCTAGAGCCATCTGCAAGGGTCACCGCAGACCCCGTGGGGATGTTGAGACATGCATAAGGCGGCTCTGGCCACCAAATCCTGCAGTAACAGGATACATCTGTCCTTGGGCTGCCAGCTCTGCTGGTCAGGGGAGAGAGGCAGGATTTTGTGGAGATGGATGGATTAACGTCATGCCCAGAGTGTGAAGAAAAGTAGGAAGCCTGGCCTGTTAGCTGAAGGAACAGCAATCCCGTTGTCCAAGCGTAGACAGACAGAAGCAGGCAGGTTTTGTCCTTGACTGTCATAAGGCAATTCCGCTCCACCTCTTCCAGTTGCCAGGTTTGAGACATTATTTTTCCATAATGAGTCATTACTAAATCGCAGCCCTAATCTTTCAGAGCCTCACCCACACAAGCACTTCTGAGTCCCCAGGAAACCCCACATGAAGCATCTTCCCCACCTTCCCTCAGCCAGAACCCAGGGGTGATATTTGAAGACAAGTTCAAAGTGGGAGAAGAACCTGAAAGGTCCTAAACTCCCAACGTGGTCAAACATATGCAGGCCCTTCCCTCTCTCTGCCTGGGGAGAGACAGGGTTTAAAAAAAAAAAAAAAAAAAATTCACTTTGTCAAAGCTGTTTTTCTGAAATGAAGAAAAAAATAAACAGTGGTGCTGCCATTTTCAGTTGCATTTGCACCATCTCCTCCCTTGGACCTGTGGGATCACTCTAGTTTGGGGCACCTTCCCAGTGGTTTCTCCTTGGGCTCCCTCCCACAACAGCAAAGGTATTCCAGCAATAGGAAAGGTAAGAGGCTGAGGCATTTACTCTTGGAGAAAAATAATCCTAGGAAGATAACAACACACTCAGAGTGTGCCCCTCCACAACACACAGTGGCTTTGCCAATCCTCAAATCATTTCCATACTTGTTGGAACCATGGAAGCCATTACAGATCAAAACCAAGATAAGGAAACATTGCTTAAATGAATGCTTTCTTTTTTTTATATTGTCAGGCCAGGCAGTGCCACACATACCTGGGCCTTCCCAGATTTAGCATTTGAGCGTCGTCAAATAGGGGGTAACTGATACGTCACAGAGACATTTCACAAGCACAACAGGTGCCCTCTTTTGTCTTTACTATAAAAGGCTTTTTGCGTGACGTAGGAGGACAATAACTCTTTCAATAGTTATTACAAGAAGATTAAACACATAAAGTCACTTTGAGGATGAGTATAGGTACTCATGAACACTTTGGTCCACCTCTGGTGTGATTTCAGATTTGGGGAACACAGCAGTGCCTTCCTACCCAAAGGCCAACATCTCATGCAGGGACCCCTATGAACCCTTCCAGTACTTCTGTTTTGGGCACTTCTTACAATGCTCGAATACATCATCCTGCTGCTCAGAGCCTCACACACCACTGCCATGCCGCCAAACCACACCTCCTTCTCCAACTAGTGACACCCAGATAAAGCAGCAATATTTGGAGGGAACTCGGGGACCAGTACTCGCTGGTTTGCTAATACAAATGAACTGGCTATGGAAATTATGCCCTTCAGACCCTTTGTAAAGATTGGTTTCACAAAAACACAAAACCCCCTTGGTATTCTGAAGGATTGGACCCTAAAAAACAATTTCAGTTCATCTTCTTGATCCCTAAATTTGTACAGCATGTTCTGGCCACTCAGCCCTCTTGGCCTACAAAGTCTACCCCAGCTCACTAGGGAGGTTTACTCTATGTTGTGTGGGAGATATCTTTTCACTTGCCTTCATGAAGGAGATTATTTTTCTTTTAGGCAAAAAAAGAAAATCTACCACCTTGGCACTAAAACTCAGCATTACTACATTACAAGTAACCTCACACCTCATATAGCAGATAAGTAAGTTCTGGTTTTGATCATCTATTTTGATGCAGAAGGGTTATTTGAAAAGTCAGAGGAAATCAATGGGTAGAAATTGGCATTTCTGTAGCCTTAGAAACTTAGAAGAGTCTGGGGAACAGACAAAGCATTGACTTCCCTGCATCATCTCAACTGTACTTATTAAATAAGATCCCACAAGTAGTATAAACTCTACCACATGTGTGCAGAAGAAAAAAGATTTTTGGGGTCGTCTATAAAGGAAACCTCCTTTGCGGTTAAAAAAAAAAAAAAAGTGTATCATGCTAAAACTAAAATATCACAGAGGCTGCAGCTGCACAAACAACTAAATGCTGTTTACCAGCAGAGGTATTTACTTACTGACAGTCAAGAAACGTTGGCTTGTAATAAAACGGTGGCATTTTAGATTCATATTTTGCTTTTGCTACATTGTTTCCATTTGAGGCCATAAACTGCAAAAAAAAAGAAAAAACATAAATAATTTTAAAATCTTAATGGTATTTTCCTGTGTCCTCTTTTGCTTCTACAGAATAATAAAATTATTGGCATGGGGCCCCTGTTCACTTACTGAGAGATTTCCCCAGAACTGGGCACAGAAGGGATGTTGTAAAGATTGTGCCTGCAAATGGGGTTCAGAAATTACTATTGATTATTATTGCCGGGGCTCCCCTAGCTTAATATGACGCCAGGGACAAGTCCACGTCCCAGTCACAGGTGCACAATCCCCACAGCAGCAGAAGGCAGGACATGGTGACATTTCCCACTTGCAGGCATGTGAATGAGATGGTTCTTAGGGAATCCAGTACAGAAATCAGGCAATCAGAGGGCAAAACCTGACACTAACTTCAAGTCTCCATGCGTTATGGCTCCAGCAAGGTAATAATCTCCAACAATGCACCCTTTGCTTTGGATCACATCATTTGTTCCAAAAGAATAATTTTATTTTTGCAAAGCCATGCCAGCAACCTCAGAAAGGAGCTTTAAGTAATAAATAAATAAATAAATAAACATTTTATCTCCTCTGACAACCCTCCTTTCCTTCTGGTCTTGTATACAAATGGCTAGTTGAGAACTCTGCAAACAAAACAACATATTTCCCTATTCAAATATTTTATTTAATGAAAGTCACTTTATAAGTGTAAAAAAAAAAAAAAAATCATTTTTTTCCAGGCAGCCATGATAAATACATTTTGTCTTGTATCAAATGCCAAGCATACAAGCATAACAAGCAGCTAAGCTTTTTCTTTTTTTTTTTCCCCTAAGCATTTCTTTATCATTATTTTCATGGTTTTGAGCTTTTCAAGTTTACATATTCAATCCATTCTCAAAAAAAAAAAAAAAAAAAAATCAAGAAAGGGAAAACCCATCCAACATAAAAGCTTATTTTTCCTCATAAAACACATGACTCAATAAGCTGTGGCTTTCAGAAAAAAACTCAAATCTACAACATACAAGATAAAGATCAAATGGCTGGTAGCGTTCTTCATGCATTTAAAGACACCAGAAGTCAAAGCAGAAAGGTTTCCTCAGTAGGCTAGCCTTTAGCAACTTCACCCAAATCTAGGCAGGTGTACAGCTTAAACAGAGGGAATTTATACTGTGATGATTCAGTTATGCAAGATGTGAGTTTAAGAGTCTTCAACGCTAAGTGGAACACAGCCAGAAATAGGTAGACTGAACAGGGGTGGTAGACTAGAGGTCTAGCCTACTGTCTAGTCTAGGCTAGAGGTAATGTAAGAAACAGGATGAGACAATTAATTTAAAATTAGTAATTTCTACACAGTCTATTTCATTTACATTTTTATAAGGGTGGGGGAAATACAACTTCTTCATGAAATAGCTATTCTATTTTTCAGTCAGCATCATGGTCCGCAGTCCCACATTCAGGAATTATCTAGACATGTTTTCTGAAATTACATTTGTGTAGCATCTTTAGAAAGGACTCTGTTTTACAGCTTTGCTGTTAAATGCAGCAACCCAAGCTCACTGGTCCCCCAAGTCTCAGATGCACGTACCTCCACTTGAGCATCATCCCAGTCATCCAGACGGACTGACTTCACTTTGCTGACTTGGGGAATATTGCGATGGATTCCTGAACAATTCAAGCAGATGAAGATCCCTAGGCTATGGGATGCCCAGTCTGGGTCTGTAAGCAAGAAGGAAAGAGAGAATTGCACTTGACTGGTCTATCAGATTCAGCTCAGGAGAAATGAGAGATAGGGCAGGACAATGTATGGCAGGGGAGTTCAGGAATCACAAGGTCCGAGTTCCTGGATTTTAAAGGCATCAAATAAATATACAAGCAAAATAAAGATATGTGCTAGTTTATATTGATAGTAGTACAAATTAAACTAACAATTAACAGATTTGCATTCTCAACTGCAGCTGTTATTCATGAAACCCAATATACAGACAAATGCATTTGTCCAAGACCTCCACAACTCACTCCATGCTCACACAAAGAGGTGAATGTCCACCTTTCATCAGCAAAACCCAAGCACTGCGTGGAACAGAAATTGCACAATTAAAACAAACAGCTCAGAGAAATTGCTATGCTTCTCCCTTGATTTGCGGCTTTTTACTTTTTTCTTTTTTTTTTTTCTTTTCTTTTTTACAGTGGGAGTGCTCCACATAGAGACTTTCCTCCCACAGCTACGGCTGCCCAGCAGCACAGCCCTCCATGCCAGGAGGTCTCCAGCCCTTGCCTTAATGGAAAAATGCTGCCAGTGGCAGCTCTGTACTTTCTCCGAGCAAAACCACACTGTTTACAGACCCAAGCTGACGTCTCACACAAAGCACTTTAAACACAAGCCCTTCGCCTCCAAATTCCTCCTCGGGAGAGGCACTGCCTGAAGCGCAGGGAGATGGAGAGGAACCAGAGGAGGGCAGAGGCAGGACACATCCACCAGTGTCTCCTCGCTAATAAGGCTGATACAGGGATCTTTGTTTGAACTCCGACTAGCAAATGTCAGTGCCTGCTATTCCAGCTGCGCCCCAGCAGAAAGAGCTTCCTCGCAAGTCACCAAATCAGCCACTAAATCATCCCCCTCCTCCCAACAAAGGTCCCCTCACCCCATCCTCCCCCAAACCCATAGGGGTAGGAGCCCCCCCGGCCACCCCATCGCATCAGGCTGTCGAGGGATAAGGGCAGGTCTTCCCTCGTCACAAAGTGTCGTCATTTGTTTATTTCCCGCAGTAATTACACTGAACATTTCTCACAGCATAGCAATTATTTATAAAAAGCAAAGGAACATGCTTTTTCCTTCTTATACATATTTAATGGTCTGGCTATGTCAGTGGAGCAGGAGCTGGCATGGGGCAGCACAGCTCCTCTGCACAGGGTATCGAGGTCTGCTACCAGCCCCTGCCTGTGGGGATGGCCACCAACTTCCCCCAGCACACCCTAGGGAAGACAAATTCAGTTTTCCCAGTGGTGGTTGTGATCAGATATAAACCCATGATCTAAATGAGCAGCCTCATAAGACACAGCAGGGTGCTCACCCAGGAGAAGAGAGCAAATTCCAGAGCTGTTACAAGCCCCATCAGCCACAGCTCCCTTGGCACTGGGCTGGGACCAGTTGCCAAAAATAAAGGCGGGTTTTTTTGGTTCACACGGTCTCTCATCCTCATGTGAGACCCCAACAACTACAGCTCAGGCCTGGAAAATATAAAACTAGTCAAGTCAATTTAAGCACACTGCAGCAGCAACCAAGCGCTGCCCACATCCAGCCATGCAGTGAGGGGATGAGTGCTCTGCCCCACCAGCCCTGACCCCCGCACCCTCACCCCACTCCTTCCACAAGGCCCAGGTGACTCAGCTTCACACCACGCCCGAAGATTGCTGCCAGTTATTGGGTTATAGGTTGGCAACAACAATCAAGAGTTCTGCACACTCATGCACGTTTCTGTACTTTAGCTCCTTGTGTTGTCCTCTCCCATCTCCAAACACATGGCTGTAATCAAAGTCTGGGACCTACCAAACTTCTTACCACAAAAATAGTCCAAGGTGCAGTACTGCTGCCCCATGGTAGCCCAGGACCATGGGACAAACAGTGCAAATCAGGCAAGGTGAAAGCATCAGGTTCTCCTGTTGGAAAACCCATCTCTGACTTCCATACAGCGGATCGGGCAGGAGGAAGGGCAAGAGGGTCCAGAGAACAGGGTGGACACAGAGCAATGGCAGCAGTGAGGAAGAAGTTGTTGTGGCAGCAAAGTTTGGGGTTGGGAGCTAACGTGGCCACCAGCTCCCTGTGCTCAGTGCAGCCGTTCCACAATAACCGTGCTTCAATCCTTGCTGGTGTAATGAGATCTGATCAAAGCGGCGTCCGACTCAGGCGAACAGGTTTCAATGCATTGGCCTCCACAGGTTTTATCGGGAGCCCCAGTACATGTTTTGTATTAACTAATTTATCTTAGGCACGCAGGTGGATTTCCTCATATTGTCTGCATCTTCCTAAACTCAGGTTTCCAAAGTCCACTCGAAGAAGTAACCCCTTTGCTGCCTGCACTGCTGTGTGCAACAGGACCAGGAGACATCACACCTTCCTCCAGCCAGGGATGAGGACACATTTGGGTGGAGGAACATCCTGCAAGAAGATCCTCAGGCTCAGATGGAGGACACTCCAGCTCCAGTGGACACTGTGAGGCAACTCATATCCATGTCAAGAAGAGATGGCTTGGGTAAACAGCACCTCAAGCAATGGGTTTCAATCACAACTGGGGCTTTAAAGCATTCTCCTGATACCAACGGTATTTTCTTTAGCCCAGCCTCTTAAACATGCATCCCTACTCCCTGCTCCTCATAATGTCAAGCCAGGTGTAGTTAAGAAAGCAAAAGCTGGGCTATATACAGGAGCATATGCACAAGGTTTCCAGAATATGATAGTACTTAAGAGGAGCCAACAAAGAGGGTCAGTGGTGACCCAACCTTTGGAAGGGATGATCTCGGCTTGTTCAATAAAACCACACCTGTTAGCTGTCTCCTCCTGATCACCTTCCTTTCAGTCTTTCCTCTCTTGTCTAGACACAAGGTCCATGTCCATCCAACACCAACAGCATCCCACATACCAAACTTCGAGGAGCACCGTGACAGAGCTGCATGTTTTACTCAACTCACCTCACCTGATACCAGCAGTTTGCATTGCTGCAGTACATTAATAGCAACTTCCCCTTCGTTGCTCTCTTGATTTTAAAAATACACAGATAGCTCTTAAACACAAAAGTTATACAACAAGGAGGGGATGTAAGAGTTGTAAATGCTCCGCTGGTTGTGCACTGCTTTCCTGTGACGGCTGCAGCCCAGACCTGCACAAATTTGGCAATTGTTTTCAGTGCCAAAGGGAACATCAGGGAGGAGGAGAGTTCAAAGGCCTCAGGTGCTGAGTAGACCCATCCAAAAAAGTAGCAAAATCCCCCCGAACTGATCTACCAGAGGAAGTATCTCTGAAATGTCACTGTTACAATAATTTATTAGAGATTTCTCATGGATCTTGCTCTCCTGGCTGAAGACATCTGACTGAGAAAGTAAGCCAGCCCCAGCCTTTCTTGAACTTCAGTTGAAAGCCAAAAGCAATTTCTAAGCGTTGTCTGAACTAGCCAGAGGGTTATGGACCCACGCAAGTCCCCAGGCTGGTACCTCTCTGTGACCCCCCTGCGCCACCGCTCTGCCCATGGACAGGAAGGAGGAGGGTGGAGGATTCCCCGACTCCATCTTCTGGAGGGCTCTGCCAATGCTGCTTCCCCTTCTCACCCACTCCCTGCACTTGTGACACCATTTTCAAAGAAGCCTAGCTACGAAACCTCTATGCCCACACATCTTCTGCGGGAACTGGTAACAGATCCCCAGGCAGATGGCTGCTGGCCGGGGTGAGCACCCACCTCTGCAGCGATGCTTTTCCAAAGCCTTCTGTAGGGCTTGGGGCTGGCAGCAACTACAATGCTCCCCAAGCACATCACAGTCCCCTTCTCTTAATTTTTGCCCTCCAGCACAAACATGAAAAATTCTCAGCTCAGGAACATGGTAGATAACGCCAGTGATCTCTGACCTTGGCATAATCACAGATTCCAACCCTTCAAATGACTGCACCAATGCAGGCTTCAAGATAAGACATCTTATCAAGCACGCAAATTCACATAAGCGTGTTTATATGAGAAAAGTGAGTTTTGGGGAAGCACCATTAATTTAGTGAACCAGTGTCCCCAGGCTGTACATGGCTGGTGGTGCAAATGCCTGCCCACAGCGAGCTGAGGTCTCCGTAGCCAGCTGAAGTCCACCTTGCCACTAGAAACTTCAACTGCTGGAACACTTTCTCCATGCTGGACACTATTGGGGAGTTCAGTAATTTTATTTAAGCCATTTTACCTGGGCAGGGCTCAAAAAAGTGCACCAAAATGGTAATATATCGTAATCTCGACCTTTTTGGGGCACTGCCCAAAAAAGATGATTTTTTTCTAAGCCTCCAGAGTTTCAAGCAAACAGCAGTGAAGTCTAATGAAAACTCTCTGGCATGCCCAAGTTCCACACAAATTACTTTATTCCATTATGTCCAGCCAAAAGGAACAAAGAATAACAAGGAGCAAGGGGAATATTAAATCAAATATAGTGTTGTAAGTGCAGAAAGTCTCTTAACCTGCAGCATCATTGCTCCAGAACAACAAATGCCAGCTCTAGAAGGCTTTCACTGCCCAATGTGGTAAAACTTTCTGGTCACTTACAAACGGATTATAATGAATTTCAAAATAAAACCTTGATGCAACTTCATTTTTAAAATTAAACAAAGCTAAACAAAACTCAGTGAAAGGGGATTGGGGTGATATTTTCCCATCTTGTTCATCTGAAAGGGAAGGCACAGACAAAGATTAGAGAAGCATCCAAAGCAAAATTAAAACACTTGGGCAACAGAGCTAAATTCAGTAATTAAACTTCCTCACCCAGTCCCTTCTGCCACCACGAGCCCCAGGAAAACCAAGCGCACAGAACAATGAACTCTGCAGTTTGAACCCAACATTTCTGAGCATACGAACAGCCCATGGAGGGAAAAAACAAAGTCTGAACCCAGAAAAAAAAAAAACCAAGAAAAACCAACATAAAACATAAGACAATTTATGCAAACCAAAAGGCTAGTAGAAAAGACTGGAAGTGGGATG